CACATAACAAAGGCTTTTCTAGAGTATAACCAGTTGCTTGCTACAGAATAAATTAAGGATTTCGCTACCAAAGGAATTAATACCTCTGTATCTTTAAAGTGCATATTAAATGACCTGTGAGAGAGGAAGGCCTAATGAGCCACCCTCTGGCAGACATCACCTTGCCAAGCCTTTCTGCTGTCACATTCCATCTTGGAATTGCAAGTGACTCTGTAGGAACCACGTAGGAAACTGCACATCTACTCTCCATGCTTGTATCACCTGGCTCTCTATGTAACATCTGCTCCCAAAACTGGTAGCTAACAGTACCACTGAATTTGCTGATGTTCGAGGAAAAAGATAATATCTTTTCCCTACCTATCACAAGGTGCCAGGCTAAAACCCTTACAGCAAGGTTAGCACAGGGAAAACACATTACCCAGGAACCTTCAGAAATGGAGACCTAAAGACCTGGGGAAACTATTTTCATGGCCTAGTATACAGACATGTGAATGGAAAACAAGGTCTGAACTGAGGGACTATAGCAATGCTGTTCCTCCAGGTTCTTCTTGGCCTGTGGGTGGAAGGCAGCACATCCTCTGGAATGAGGATCTTAAGGTCTGTTTACAGGAAACTAGGTCGAAGAATTCTTTTTCCGGTCAGCATCAGGGTGAAAAGGTGGGAGAGGACCAGCCTGAGACCTGTCACCTGTGATATCTGGACACCCAGTGTGTCAATGTCCTGTGTTTGGAGACCTGTCACCTGTGATATCCCAAGTTCCCCAGATTAAGACAGTGAGTCAATGTCCTGTATTTGGGGACCCGCCACCTGTGAGTTTCCCTCAGATTGAGACACTCAGTATGCCAGTGTCCTGTGTTTGTAGATACTATGTTCTGAGACCTGACACCAGACAATTCTATGGGTTGAAACCAAATTAGTTTCCATGGGACTTTCCCTGATGTTATACAGGTGTTGTGGTTGTATGGTATCCACCTAGGACCTGATGGTCTGACATGCTCAATGGTAGTTTGGGGTTGGCTACTGACTATGCCACAAGTCATCAGCAAGCCAACCTGGAATGTGGTGACCGTATTCTCGGGGGGAGGACTAATGTACTCTTTTCTAGGACTGTGCTCACTAATGTCTCACTGTGCAGAATAAACGGCCCAGCCAGACCCAGACTCTATGTGGGAAGGGACATAGTGTGGGACAAGAGTGTGGACATATTCAGGCTTGATCAGTTCTCAACAGGGTAATACATACTTCAACCATGTCAACATGCTTCAGTGGTCCAACCTTTAGAAACTGGTGTAAAGAAACAAATGGATGTGTATAAGAACTTTCACTCATTGTTATCCTTCAAAGTCTTATTCATAATAAATACAAGTTAGAAACCATCCAAATATTTAATTATAGGGTTTGACTAAGCAAACATAACCATTTGTTCTTGCTGTCATTCGTGTGTGTGTGTGTGTATGTGTGTGTATGAGAGAGAGAGAGAGAGAGAGAGAGAGAGAGAGAGAGAGAGGCCTTATGACATAGCCCAGACTCACCTTGAATCAATTTAAACCAGGCCATCTCTCCTTCACTGCAGGTTCTTCTACCTTATCTACAACCCAACAACAGAATGTCATCTAAGCTAGAGAAATGGCTCAGCGGTTAAGAGCAGTAGCTGCTCTTCCAGAGGTTCTGAGTTCAATTCCAGCAACCACATGGTGGCTCACAACCATCTTGTTATGTGCCTGAAGACAGGTCACTCATATACATAAAGTAAAATAATAGATAAACATTTTTTAAATACCAATGTCACCTGTTTCTGGGTCTCATTGACAACATTGGTATTCCAAGAATTAATGGTCTTTCTTGACACATGCCTAGGATCGTGATTGGTGACTCTATATTTTTTTTTTATGTAGGTTAACAAGATTAATGTAAGTTTTATGCCTTCAGAAATGTAGACTCTCAAGAAAACAGGGAGCCTTGTGTGTTTTTATGCTGGACTAGGTGAGAAGTGGTAGTTGGGCAGTACTATGATTGGATAAAGACATGAAACATGATTTAAGGGCAATAAAACCAGGGGAGCTCAATAATGCTGGCATGTCTTCAAGTTCCCTAAAATGAAACCACTCCTTCCTTCCCAGGGCAGGATGGACTCCTCAGGGTCTTCTTGGTCAGCGGCTGATATGGATACTTCCAGGGACATGTTCTTACTACAGTGGTTACCCTGGAAGGAGTTCCCTTCTCTTCCCCTCTTAAGAGTCACATTTTTCTTATTAAGCCTCTGTCCTGTTTCTCACAAGTCTCTCTATGGCCAGGAAGCCCTACTCTTTCTGGTCAGTCGTTACCTCCACCTTCACCCACCTTTTTCCTGGGTTGTTCCTCACCCCGCTTGTTCAAGCCAGACCTCTGTGTATAGTTAAAAGGCTGTGTGCTCTGCAAATATGAAAAATCTTTCTTCAAAGAAGTCCCTGAATGTTGCAACGACTCAGTCCCTCACCATTACAGGGGAACAAAGGATTAGCCCAGCTTCATCTTACTACTGGGAGAGTCAGGAAAACACAAATGAGAACAAAGCTCCTAGTTTGGGTCCAGCCTTGGTACTCAAGTTTCTCATCAACAAAGGTCCTGTTGGTGTATACATGGGTAACAAGAGACAGGGGCCCTTGGTAGAGAAAGCCAGAGACCCATCTGTTGACACAGGGAGGAGGAAGAAAATGCAGGGTCTGTTTCTGCATACTGAAAGTCATAAAGCCATTCAGAGCTATTCAGAGATCTGAGGGTGGCCTTGTACAAAGCTCTGCCTGATGCCACCAGGAAGAAGGACAGCATGCATGCCACCAGCTGGTGTTATCTTGCCAGCCAGCCTTAGGAGTGCCATAGCAGACATCCTCCCAACTGGGGCCACCACAGCCTGCTGGGGGAGGGGAGGGTATGTGCGCTTCTCTACAGAACAATTCTCTGTGGTTGGACTAAAGATTCTCTCTCGTCAGCACAGGTCCCAGATGTTAGCTGGGAAAGCTGGGGACCCGGGCAGTCGCAGAATTGGAGGAGACACTCTTAGGCAGATAGATATATGGAGGACATACCGAAAGGAAGTTGGGACTTTAGTGTGCTGCCCACATGGGTATCTGAGCACACTCCTATATAGCTACATCCCTACAACCCAAGCCGCAACATAGAATTTACATTGGAATAAGTTCCTCACCTTAACCTTTAAAACAAGGAACTAGAAGTAAAATCAAATGTCACTTTGGTGGAATACATGTATGTCACCTTTGATGACCAGAGGTCTGATGCAAGGAGAATTCTGGACAAAGTGCTATTTTCAAAAGTTACATTCCTTTACTTTGAAAAACACCTTCCTTTCGTGTGTGTGTGTGTGTGTGTGTGTGTGTGTGTGTGTGTGTGTGTCCCCAAATGCACACATACCACAACACACATGGGCTCAGAGGACAACTTCCAAGACTCAGTTCCCTTCTTCCTTATGGGCCCTCTTGGGCATCCTACTGGCCCTCAGGTTATATTCTAGAGTCAGAGTGAAAACAGAGCAGGCTCAGCTTGTGACTTTGAATGTGGCTTAATTTCAGTCCGGGGACAGTGCTGCTGACAAATGGTCCCACTGACAGACACCTTTATCAACAAGGCAAGGCTGGGGATTGTCCTGACTCTACCCCACTCCCACCCCCTTCCCAGGGCACTGACACTGAACCCTTCAATTTAATCTTTCAGTACCAAAAGGCATGCCAAATAGATGGCAAGACTTCTTGCCTGCGGTATGCAAATTGCTCTTGACATTTAATTTTTTTTAAAGTCTATTTGGGGAATTTTTTAAAAACAGAGCTGCACTGAAGCAAGATTATTGAGTGAAACCTACTATGATATAACCTTTCCATTGCCCTTTCTCTTCAGTCCTCCAGGACCACCCAGGTGCTTGAGGGCTCTCCACCTTTCAGATATAATGGCCTGCTTATAAGGAGGATTAATTATCATAGCTTTCTTCCTATGGGTTTCAGTTCAGGATGTTTTTCTCTGAGGCTGCATGCTTATGCCTTTAGTCTGTCTTATTGATTACTAAAGAAGAAGTACATTTGGTACTCCAAATATCTATCTGGATACACTTTTCTTTTGTTGTTGTGGAGGAAAAGGAACCTCACCCATTCGATTAAAAAAGGCAAATGCGGTGTCTAGACTCCTTTAGAGGGATGTGCTCCTTCCTTCCCTCGCTCCAAGTGAACAGTAACTACTTTTCAAGAAGGAACAGAGAGCAGAGGAGGTTGGAAGAATGCAACATGAAATTAAATTAAAACTTCGCGGCACCTTTGCCTGCCTGTACGATGCAGCGCAGGAGGTTTGGCAAGCTGGAGGGAAGGTGGGCGGCATCGCATCCCACATGCCTTACAGGCCCAGCTGGTACGGAGAGAGCCAGGTCTGCTGGGAGAAGCACTGGAAAAGGCCAGCTAGGGATTGGAGGGGCAATTCTTTCCCTTTTTCACTTCCAGAGATCCTATCAAGATGCTTTCTCATACCTTAGAACACAAGTTAGGAGCCACAAGTTATTCCCAAACCACGTTTCCTTAGCATTTATTATGTTGAACTTCTTGATGATAAATGTTTTTTTTTTTTTGTTTTGTTTTTAAGAAAAAAAAAAGCGGCAGAGGGTAGGGTGGGAGGGGGAATGATCCATTTGATACATACACCAGGCCATTTGTAAGGTGGTTTCTGCTGCCTCATTTGGTCAAAAGAATGCAAATCTTGTTACATTTAATTTACTAAAAACCCTGCCGATTCCTTTGGAAACCTGTGACCTACAGTCTCTCCGCCCTCCGTCCACTGAGGAGAGGCTTAGTCACCACTGGGTGTTGCAATGGGTGTGACTCACAGAGAGAAGTAGAGAAGTAGGAAAGCCTTCACACATGCAGGTTGCAGATCTTCTTAGCAGAAGCTCTGACACCTTGAGAGGATCAGCTTGCTGAGGGCCGGCAGCACTTCCTTCCCCTGGGCACTGCGCGAAGGTGATACAAGTCACCAGAGGGTCCTGCACCCCCAGGCATCTTCAGCGAGGTAACCGGTGACTGTTGGGTCTTTTGTCCCTTCACTTACCATCTCAACCTAAACTGTCTTTGATTTTTCCATCCTCTGACAGAATGAATCAAGTTGCCTTTCAGCTGTGGTTCAACTGGTGTTCTTTAATATAGAATGAGAATGATGGGAGCAGAGTCCATCTCATAAAGAAGTGAACTCAGTGTGACCCAGGAGCCTGACTGAAATTCTTCCAGGACTCTGAATATCCCGTAGCGTGCTGTAGTCACAGCTAAATGCTCTCTGTGTCCCTCTCCTCCTCTCCCTCCCTCCCTTCATCCTTACAGTCTCTATCTGACACCTTTTGTGAGTCTTGCGACTATTGAGAAATTGGAGAGCACAGAGATCCAAAAGTTGTGGGCATCTTAACAGAGTGCCTCGGGAGGAACAGTGATGGCGTACTGTGGCCTGATATGTGTCTCCCCCTGCTTTCCCATCAACAGTTTCCAAGAGCACATGTAGACAACACTAAACTAGAAAAGAAAAAATGTTGGAAATGAAGAAAGGATCTTCTTCTCCTTCTTCTTCTTCGTGTGTGTGTGTGTGTTAGTAAAGATTTTATTTTTTTGACATATTAATTCCAGTTCCCCCTTCCTCCTCTCGTTCCGATCCCCTCTTTTGCTCCTCAGAGAGAGTAAGGCCTCCCATGGGGAGTCAACAAAGTCTGTTCCATCACCATGTTGAGGCAGGACCAAGGCCCTCTCTGCTGTGCCTAGGCTGAACAAGGTATTTCTCCATAGGAAATGGGCTCCAAAAAGCCAGTTCAGGCACTAGGGATAGATCCTGGTCCCACCGCCAATGGCCCCATAAATTGCCCAAGCCACCCACTGTCACCTGCATTCAGGGGGTCTAGTTTGGTCCTATGCAGGTTCCCCAGCTGTTGCTTCAGAGTCAGTGAGCTGCCACTGGCTCAGGTCAGCTGTTTCTGTGGTTTTACCATCCTGGTCTAACTCCTTTGCTCATATTGTCGCTCCGCTCCTTTTTCTCTTTGACTGGACTCCAGGAAATTGGTTCAGTGGTTAATTGCGGCATCTGTTTTCATCAGTTACTGGATGAAGGCTCTATGCTGACAGTTATGGTAGCCCTCAATCTGATTACAGGAGAAGGCTGGTCCAGGCACCCTCCCTCTCCACTATTGCTTAGAGTTTTGTCTGGGGTCATCCTTATGTATTACTAGGAATTTCCCTTATGTATTACTAGTGTTTCTTGATAATCCTCTATCAGGCTCCCTCTATCAGAATAATTCAAGAAAGGATATTTCTAAGGTGCATGCACACCCTGGGTTCTGGGTGGTCAGTTAAAAACAAACAAACAAACAAACAAACAAACATCTCTGCTCTACGTCTTATGATAAAGTGACTTGGTATTTCAAATGCCCCCACGCACACTTCATTTTTGGCACGTGAGGTAAATAACTCTGTAAAGCCCCATGACACTCTCAAGCCAGAGCTACAGCCCAGAGCTAGGGCTGAGCTTTTTATCTTAGTGTCACTCAGCACGTATTAGATGCTCTGACGTACCCTTGGCTAGGTGAGGTATGACGTGAGGAGAGACTCTGTCACCGTCACTACACAGTGTACCTTCACATTTGAAAATGGTGTCCATCTTTTAGAATAAATCTCAGTGTTTCAATACAAGGAAAATTTGTTGCTTCCTCCATTTTGAGAAGAGAGACCCTGATCATGAATGTCACTTTCTCAAGGGACAGAATTTTAAAACACTAACATTTTCACCCAGAGTAAAGCTAACTGTGGCTGAAAGAAATATCCTGAGGATTTGGAAATGCTTGTGGCACTGATACACACATCCACTCTATTCTAAACTTTCTTTCAAGCTTTGTGACCAGGAATTATATAACATACAACATACAATCCCTTCCAACTAGCAGTTACTATTTTGTGGCCGTAACCGAACAAATAGATTTAACTGTGATTCCTAATGTGATATTACTGTCAGGAAGCACACAGGCAAACATTAAATGTAAGAGGACCTGGGATAATGAGTATTCATTAGCAAAGATGCTTAGCAAATTGGTTTAGTTTAAGAATGTTTTCCTTAGTCTTGAGTGGGTTTGAACACCTGGGGAGGCAGGACAGCTGCTGATGTGAAGCCCCCGGGGAAGCATGAGTGCACTTATCCCAACACACACTGGGTGTGGCTCTGCACCCTCCCACTGGGACTCAGGCAAATCGTAACTAAGGAAGCTTTGCTTCCTACAGTTATGGGAGGGAACTCACCACTCCAGGACACCAACTACTACCTACCTCATCCCAACTGTGTCATCATTGTGGTCACCACAATTCTCAACAGAACACCAGATTCTCAACAGAACAATTGCATGTAGGGGTCATTGGCTCCTTTTTAAATTCATTTCGGATTTTTCAGGTGCTGGCTCTAATCTTCCTCTTCAAGTGAGTACACTTCCATATGTGTATGAGCTCATTTGTGTCATCAGGCTCCAGTGAGAAGGAGAGCAGATGTGTCTGAAAGGCCACCTAGGCTTAAAAAAGAAGAACTTCTCCTTCAGTAAAAAGGACACCAAATAAAAATGAGTTCTGAGTAATGAGCCATATATGCAATATCCAAATATAAGAAGCACATGTGTTCCACGGTAGTCACTATTAGGAACACTTGCATAAGAAAACTCACAGCCATCACTAGATGCTTTATCTTGGCACAGCAACTCAGTTGTTGATCCAGAGACTGCAACAAAATTGAAGGTAAACAAAGATTTAATAAACTCCCAGTGTTTTCTGAAAGAGAACCTTCCATGGAATTATGTAGACATATAATGAGGCTGGGAGGAACCATTTAGAAAGAGCTTTACTATCTAACAAAGACTTCAAACATTAGCGTCTATTTTTGTCTTGTCACCCACTTGTTATCAGTAGAGGGAGGGCAACTAATAGAACTAAAATCAAAGGAGTGTATTTTAAGTTTCTTACTAAGAAACCCAAAAAGAGAAGGCAGAAAGCAGAAGTCGAACAGTGTTTTCTGACAGATGCTGACACATGGTTCCTACGCTAACTCTCTCCAGGGCCAATGAAGATGGTAATCAGTCTCCCCTCACAGCTCCTTCTAAACCTCTGTTACATGGCAGAGATCTTCTGATAAACATCTTCATTCCTACTAGTGACTGACAGTGTGTTCATTTCCCCACACCGCTTCCCTCTCCTCTTACACAGTTTAAAGTTCCAAGAGAAATTCAGTTCTAGACACCTTTTAGCAAACATTCTAATTTGTGATATTCAGCCCAACTCCCAAAAGATCCTGAGGATTAAATAAGATACATGTTATGAGATTTATGAGATATGACCCTGAACTTTCTCATTGTCTAAACTGGAAGTGGAGACATTACATGATTGTCCTTGTCATTCTCTTCCTTTGTCCTAGAGTTCAGTGATCTCAGAGATCAATCCAAGTAGCATCAGAGCCCAGGAGCCAGAGTGGATCACTTTCTTGTCTTCCTTCTCTTCTTCCTATTGCTCTTCTGTCACAGATCACACAGACAGCACAGAGGTGATAGAGAAGTAGGCACACAAGTCTAAATGCCAGAGCCCAGTGGAAATTAATACAGTCCAGCATAGACCAGAGGAGTCTGTCCCAGACTCACCCCAGAATCATAGCTTGTGCCTTGAACCAATTACCCTACGTTTCTGAATCCAACTCTTCTCTATGGAGATTTACTTATTTATTTTGGGTTTTTTTGAGGCAGGCTCTCACTGTTCTGCCCGGGCTAGCCTCTCTCTTCCTTTTATCTTTGACCTCTGAGTGTTGAGATTATAGACATGAGTTGCCACACCCAGCACAAGAGGAGACAATTTTAGCATGAAGTTTAAGATAAATATTTATAGGTCCAGGCAACAGCCTAGAACAGGGTTTCTTAAAATTTTCCCAATATTAACCCCTTTGCATCCAAGAAATATAGATCTATACAGTCCCAGATATATAGATCTGTAAAATGGGCATACAAAGCAAACACATACTGACAAATCATAAAGAAATTTATTTTGAAACAATACTCTTGGGTACACAATTATTGAAAATGAAAACAAATTTACCTACTGATGACAAATGTGCTTGATTATTTAAAAATAAAGAAATAAGTCTTAGCCAAATATGTGATACTACAGGCCACAGAATCTTCAATGTTTTTCAGAGTTGACTGATATTTTCATTTTTAATTGTGAACACTGAGAATGTCATTTGGCATAAATATGGAGTGCAATATAGCAAAAACTTGTCTAAGGCCATTTCCAAATTGTTGAAATTTTTGTCCTAATCCCAAACCCAAATTCATTTCATGATTTTCTTTTTTTAAATGAAACTCAAGTCAGCCAACTCAAACACTGATTTTTGAAAAGGATTTGCTTATTTTATTTTTGTGTGTAAGAATGTTTTCCCTGAATGTGTACATGAATACCTGGTACCTTTGGAAGCCACAAGAAGGTGCCAGATCATCTAGAAGTTGAGAGCCACTGTGTGGGTGCTGGGAACTGAGCTTACAAGAGCAGCAAGTGATGTTATCCACTGAGCCATGTGTCTGCCCCTTCAAGTAGTGATTTTTATAATCAAATGATCTAGCACAATCCAAAGACATACCAATGTGATATTTGCACGAGGGAGAGTGACTGTAAGAAAATATTAAGCCCGGACTTTGTGTAACTGAACTACTATGTTCCAAGGAGTAGGAAAATCTCCCATGTATACTGAAAATTCTGCACATTTTCACATACAATAGCCTTGAATCTGAGCCGAGGTGTTTTAGGCAGCATTGGCTGGCATTGCACTCACAAGCAAAAGCGTGTGTGCTGTGTGTTCAGAACCACAGCTACAGTGGAGCCATTCAATGCAACAGGGACAAGAGCCAGCCTAACAACCTTGGATCTGTTATGTTTGGTTTTGAAATAAATTTTAGTCATTGTACATTCAAAACCATTTTATTTATTGTGGCTCTTAAAAAAGAATCCTACATTCAATTA